CCACACCATTCACTCACACACGCTCACACTCCCACACCATTCACTCACACACGCTCTCATTCACACACCATTCACTCACACACACTCACACACACTCACACACCATTCACTCACAGTCGCACACCTATGGGCATTTTGACAACAGTGCACATCTCTTGTTATTAAATAGACTGGCTAATTAAGCCACAACCATGGATGACACAGTGTATAATTATGCAAACAGCCCAAACCTCTCCATCAACAAACACTGACAACAGAATTTATTTTACTATAAGCAGTTCTCTTGTAGAAAAAAGAAGAAGAATCGGTTGGAACAGCAAAAATAGATGTAGAAGGACTGGGAATCACTGGTTTCTTGAGAGCTTTAGATAGTGTAACATAAAAGAAAACCAAAAAGAACTCAATTTTGAGCAAGAAAAACACATATAGGTGTGGTTAGCCAATGATAGATTACATCTGTCACACATATTACCATGATTAAATAGCTTATTGAGTTTAACTTTTGACAAATGTGTTCTATGCAGAACCCTAAACTGAATTAATATCAAATTAGAGCAGGAAGAAGATGAGCTGACCCTATGGAGAGCACACTACCACCACTCGTCTGAAAACACAATACCTGTGTCCCTCTCCCAGGCATCTCGAACAGCTAAAGATGATAAGGAAAAGGACAGGATTAGGTCCATCGTGGCTGAAATAATTTTAAACTTAACTAAGATAGAAAGAATTTTATCAATAAGTGAGTCAGCCGGTTGATGGGGAAAATTTGTGAAATTACAACGAACAAGGTTTCTGATTTGAAAATATCTAAACAAATGAGACAGAGAAAGGTCACATTTGGCCTTAAAAGAGTCAAAGGTTTTGTCTTTATACAACTGAGTAACATTCACCAGACCATTATCTTTCCACAAAGTGTAGGCAGCATCAAATGATGAGGGTGGGAATAGATGGCTATTGCAGATAGGCATCAGAGTTTATGGAGAAACTAATTTTAAGTGTTGTCTAAATTGTCTCCATATCCTGATAGATGAGAGGACTAATGGATTTGAAGCATATATATTTTAAAAGGTATAAGTTTAAAGGAGTATAAGGCTGATAAGGAGGTGGAGCTGCAAGAACTGGCTTCCATCTGCACCAATCAGTATGAGGAGAGTTACGCCAAGTGTGGATTGTATGAATGTTGGCGGCCCAACAGTACAATAAAAATTGGGTAATGCAAGGCCACCCTCATTCTTGGTAAATTGTATAGTAGAGTATTTTACTCTTGGGTTCTTCCCTGCCCAAATAAATTGAGATATTATTTTATCCAAATTTCTAAAAAATGATTTAGGGAGAAATATAGGTAAACATTGGAATAGCAATAAGAACCTTGGTAAAATATTCATCTTAATTTTGTTGACTCGCCCTAAAAAGGACAGGGGTAAAACGGTCCAACGCTGTAAATCTGTTTTAACCTCCTTAAAAAGCTTCAAAATATTATGCTTGTAAAGAGCAGAAAAACTATATGAAATATTAATGTCCAAATAACGAAAACAAGACGACGCTGTACGAAGAGGCAACAGCCCAGGTGGTACCAGCTTAGCCGCGCGGCTGAGAAGGAAGCATTCACTCTTATCTAGGCTAGATTAAATTTATAACAAGAGAAGGTCCCAAATTACTCTAAAATGCCCAAAATTTTGTCAGTGCTGATAACTTGATCTGAGATATAAAGTAAACGATCATCCGCATATAGCGAGACTTTATGTTCAGCTCCAGCCCGAAAAATTCCAGTGAAGAATGTTGAATTTCTGAGAGCAATGGCGAGTGGTTCAATTGCGAGTGCAAAAAGAAGTGGTGACAAGGGACAAGTGATAAATTGAAAAAATCAGACCGAGTGGAGTTAGGGGTTACACTGGCAGTAGGGGATTGGTATAAAAGCTTACTCCATGAAATAAATTCATGACCGAGACCAAATCTGCTAAGAACTGAAAATAGGTAATCCAACTCCACTCGGTCAAAAGCTTTTTCCGCATCCAGAGACACTACCAGTTCGGCGCTTTCTGAGTCTGATATAGAAAGTATTATACTGAGTATAGACGACGAATGTTAGATGATAACTGGCGGTCTTTAACAAATCCAGTTTGATTTTCTACATAGTTTTAATTATAAAATCGAATTATATGTGCAAGATGAAATTCAAATAGTCTACAATGCATCGTAAATTTATTTACGAATAGGCCTACTAAAAAGGAAAGGACGAGTGCACTAAAGTTTGTGGAAAAAATGTGTAAATTATACCAGAATATCAGCTAACCAGAGGAGAGTGAGGAACTGGGACACAACTACAACAAAAATAATAATGGGTGCCTCGCACCTACGCTGCTTGCCCCTAAAAATACCAAATGTGCGGTCTATTCTTCCATCAGGCCCTTAAGATGAAAAAAACGCGCGTAAAATATTATGCGCTTTTACATACGTAAAATATTATGTTGCTTTATGAAAATATTCATAAAATCATCTACCCCGGTAAAAATAATAACTATGTCACTATAAACTTGAAACGACAAGAGACGGTATAAATAACATTAATTGCCGAAATTAGCTAAAGAAGATTTAGAAATTATTAACATTTATCAACTTACCAAATCTCTCTCATCAAACATGCTTTTTTCATTCCCCGTAAATTCCATTGTTTCGGCAGACTTGGGATCCACTATTAAAATGTTCTGACTACTAGGTCTGACAAACTTACAGTCACTCTTCCTGGAGTCAGCCGTCATATACACCTCGTAGTTGTGCATATGCTGTAAAGTCCCTGTACCTCCGGCGTCTGAGTAAAGTGTTGGATAATACGGTATAACTGGGAGGTTGGACTGGTAAAAGATGCGTGATTGTCTCCATCTATAGATTTTCACGGATATAATCACTACTAACGATAAAATGAAGAGGAAGGACACTACAGCCAGAGCCAAAACTAAATAAAAAGTCAGGTTGTCATTGTAATCCTTGTCGTGAGTATTGTCACTGAATTCCGAGAGTACTTCAGGGAAGCTGTCCGCCACCATCACATTAACGTTGACTGTAGCTGAGCGAGACGGCTGTCCGTTGTCCTCCACAATAACAGTAAGTCTTTGTTTCATTGCGTCTTTATCACTGACCGGGCGTATAGTTCTGATTTCCCCGTTCTGTGAGCCCACTTCAAACAGCGCCCTGTCTGTCGCTTTCTGCAGTTTATATGAGAGCCAGGCATTCTGTCCAGAGTCCACATCGACGGCCACCACTTTAGTGACAAGATAGCCCACATCAGCTGAACGAGGCACCATCTCAGCCACCGAGGAGCCACCAGTCTGTACTGGGTAGAGGATCTGAGGCGCATTGTCGTTCTGGTCCTGGATGATAATGCGAACTGTAGCATTTCCGCTTAATGGAGGTGAGCCCGCATCCTGAGCTCTGACTTTAACTTGAAATTCTCTAAGTTTCTCATAATCGAAACAATGCATGGCGTGGATTATCCCGCTTTCGGCATTTACTGACACGAGAGAAGAGGCGGGCACACCGTTGACCTCCGAGTCCTCCAGCAGGTAGGAGACGCGCGCGTTCTGGCAGCAGTCGGCATCATTCGCTTTTACATTGAAAATGGAAACACCGGGTGTGTTGTTTTCTACCAAACGAACATCATAGGATTGTTGTTCAAATACTGGTGCATTATCGTTCACATCGGATACTCTGATATGTAATGTCTTGTTACTGGAGAGGGAAGGCACGCCGTTGTCCCTGGCTGTTATTGTAACGTTGTACTCTGATTCTGTTTCTCTATTTAGCATTTTTATTGTCTGAACGGTGAAGTAATTCCTTATTGATGATTTCATTGCAAAGGTAGAGGCTTCAGATATAATGCAATTCACCTGACCATTTTCCCCCGAGTCCACGTCTTTAACATTAATAACTGCAATAGTAGTTCCTGGTGAAGCGTCTTCAGAAACTGGATTAGTGAATGATGTTAACGTTATAATGGGAATGTTATCATTCACGTCAATTACATTAATTATAACAGCACAAGAATCTGTCAAACCACCCTGATCTCTAGCTTCTACATTTAGCTCATATATCTGATCTTGTTCAAAATCTATACTTCCTCTTACAAAAATACTACCCGATTTTTCGTCAATTTCAAATACTCCGCTTTCCTTTTCGGACATGTGTATGAAAGCATATATTACTTGACCATTAACGCCTTTATCTGAGTCATCTGCACTTACTGTAGTCACCAGCGTGCCTCTGGGTGAGTTTTCTGCTATGCCAGCTCTGTAAAGCTTCTGTGTAAAAACTGGAGCGTTATCATTCGCATCCAAAACCTTCACATTCACTGTCATCACGCCAGACCTCGGTGGGTGACCTCCGTCTATAGCAGTCAATGTTAGAGACAAGTCCTCCTGTTTCTCTCTGTCTACTGGGGACTGTAGCATCATCTCAATATATTTACTACCATCAGGACGCGTCTCCTGTTTTAATACAAAGTTATCAGTCGGTTTCAGGCTGTAGCTCTGTATGGCATTAATACCGACATCGGGATCATAAGCGCTGTCCAGCAAAAACCGCGCACCGGGCAACGCCGATTCACTAATCTCAATATTTATTTCATTTTTCGCAAATTTCGGGGAATGATCATTCATGTCCATTATTTCTATTACTACTTCAGTTAACTGAATGGGATTCTCAAGAATAATTTCAATGCTAAAGCTGCACAAAGATGTTCTTCTACACAACGCCTCCCTGTCTATTCTCTCATTGACCACCAGTATTCCTTTGTCTGAGTTCAGCTCCACGTACCGACTGCTGTCTCCAGCAACGATCCGAGCTCGGCCGCTTTTCAGCCTTTTATCGTCAATCCCCAAATCCGCAGCGACGTTGCCGATGACGGAGCCTTTCACCATCTCCTCCGGAATAGAGTATCGCATTTGTCCTTGAGCAACATATAAAAACGAAAGGATAATTATCCAGAGTGATAATTGCCTCTTAGTATTGTCGGATTTTTCTCTGAATGCCATCTTCTCCTTCACGTTTTGCTGTTAAAATCACACGGATGTTTTATTTATCGAGGAAAACCATCCAACGAAATCAACACTATGAACAAAATAGTATTTTTATAACATATTATTTCCCAGCCGACTCCCTAGATTTCCATTCACTTCTGAGCCGTTTCCTCCACTCTGTTTCTCCTGAAATCCACTGGTATTATGCAGACACTGCGTATAGCTCTGTATGTAACGTGCAGTAATAAGGGAGGCGCTCCTGAAATACATCCCAGCGCAGCTCGCCTGCTTAACCAACAGCGACCCTTACAGTCCTGCGCGAGAACCGCCGGCTCACGCTTCCCGGCTCGACATTTCCTGTCCTGTGGGCTCATGTGAAAACGGAATACAGTGTAACATCTGAAGCAATTTAAAAGATCAGACATTATACCTCATTACATGTGTATAGGAACGTGTATGTAAAGATAAATAGTCTACACCCTTTAAAAAAAACTTTCAATCTTTTTTTTAAGTAATGTAAGAGTTTAATTTGGCTATGCAATGTTGATGGTGAAGTGGGTCTGCTTCTCTGAGCTTGCGGATGGAGCGCAAGGGTGAGATGAGAGAGAGAGAGAGCTGGCGCGGGAGCGGGAAGCAGGGGTGAAAGTGTAGTGCCGAGCCGGGAAGTTTTGTACTTTTAAGAAGGAGAGTAAATATATGATTATATCCCAATAAACATCGCCTACCTCCTTTATAACCACGAAGACAGAACGAACCCCATCGACAAGTATAAAGGTATACCTGTGAGTTGCCGAGAAGTGAGCATCACAGTAGCCTACTAATAATCCATAATATCCGATACAGGCAATATGTTACGAGATAACTTCCAAAAGCCAATAATGCCACCTTAAAATATAAATCTAATGCGCTCTTACTTATAAATTTATTGTATTCAACAGTAACATCGCATTACATTTTACAGTTTGTAGCCTGTGGTTGAGTGAAGTGCTGCATGACAATGTTCTTAGTCCTTTGTTTTACGCGATTAAAATATTTTTAATATATTCATTTATTCCCTTAGATTATATTACATGTATCCTCTTATCTCCTCGCGATCCTTGTTAAACAGATAAAATATCTAATTGGACCACCGTACAACAGCCAGCTCGGTCGATCGTTATTACTTTGCGGGAAATGCTTAAACTGAGAAAACATTTTTTCCTTGACTAACCGTGATGATAGTAACTTAGTCGAATGAGGATAATTCTATAATGGCAGAGTTGCTTTTGCCATTAAGAAATTATACTAAAAGAAAATCAGCTACGCTTTGAAATATGTCACAAATCAGGAAGATATAATTTAACTAAAATATTTATAAAGAAAAATCAGATATTCAATAATTTAATAAAAGAGAAAAATAAGGCAACAATAACAAATAGGCATATACTAATATATATTTTTAATTTAATACTAAGTTGCGTACTTACCCAATCTGACTCATCCAAAGCATTTTTGTCATTTTGTGTGCGCTTCATTGTCTCCGCGGAACTTCGATCCTCCATCAAAACGCTTTGGCAATTAGGTCTGACAAACTTACAGTCACTCTTCCTGGAGTCATTCGTCATATACACCTCGTAGTTGTGCATATGCTGTAAAGTTCCTGTACCTCCGGCGTCTGAGTAAAGTGTTGGATAATACGGTATAACTGGCAGAGTGGACTGATAAAAGATGCGTGATTGTCTCCATCTATAGATTTTGACAGATATAATAACTACTAAAGATAAAATGAAGAGGAA